GCAAAAAACCCTCCGTTAAATCGGCCCTCCAAATATAAGCTCCCCGGGGGCTTGTACTTGGAAAATTGCCCTCAGATACAAAGTAAAACAAAGCAAAAACGGTAAAGTTAGTTCCAACTTTAAGGCTAGCCCAATCGATTTTGAAACGCAGATAAGCCCCTCCAAAAATAAGCCCCTCAAAAAGGGCCTTTGAACAATATAAGCCCCAGGGCTTATTTTCGGAATCAGTTACGGTAGCATTCCAGAGCATCCCTATATAAAATTTGAAGAGAGGGAAATACTGGGTATCCTTCAGGAGCCCATAACCCTTATGGGCTCTTGGTTACGTGGTATCCATTTTAATTTGGTGCTCAAACTGTACCTAAAGCAAGTTAGGGACGTAAGTCACGTAAGTGCCTCTACGTACATACCTGAAAAGATTCCGAAGTTGAAAAAAATATAACAAACAAAAATATATAAGTCAGAAACAAGTATAGCCCGCGCGCAGACCCGTGGGCGATACGTGGGCCGGCTGCACCGCAGGCTAAAACAAGTACTGATGGCAAAAGAAGAGTGCACTGGAGCTCAACAGTCAAAACTGCCAGTTGTAGGTGATTTTCGAAAGAAGAGCAACACAGAAAAGAAAAGAGAAACTTTTGCGGTGAATTTTGGGGAAATTTGCGAAGGATAGTACTTCATGTAACCAGCTGCGGCGCGTGCAGCGTCGCACCCACAGGATTGACGTCCTGTGCAAGTCCGAGAAGGCCTGGTTATAGGCTGGAGGAGGGCGCAATCCCGGAACTGGTAAAAGAAGATTGCTGAAGTTTGACCACTTCTTTAAACCTTCGATCTTTAGGTGGTCGTGTCACGATATAATCAGCCTTTTAGCAACTCTTCTTAGCTCCTTCTACGTCATGGGGTGCTGCTTGGGAAAGAAATCCCATGCAGGCGCAAACGACACCGTTAAGAAAGGAGAAAACATCGATGTGAAGGACATAAATGCCGAAATCATTGAACATTCGCAGACACAGGGATCGAACAGATATGTACCTGAACCGCCAACTTCTCCGGTTCCACAAACTCCAACCGTGTTAAGATTGACTTACATCGCTCTTTATGACTATGATGCTCGAACACAAGAAGATCTCAGCTTCAAAAAGGGTGAAATTCTCGAGGTAAATAAGGAAGACTTGGAAAACGATTGGTGGAGAGCTCGTTCTCGCGAGACCGGTGTGGAAGGTTTTATCCCCAGTAACTACGTTGCTCCTCAATTATCACTAGAAGCTGAAGAGTAAGTTAAATTTTTCTTGTATTGTTAAAGGGTAGTCAGTCATGGTGAATAAATGCGATAAGAACCTTGTCAAATCAAAATTACTGGGTTTGGAATTTGCTCATTTCTGGATTGGCCAAGAGGTCAGGTTCGAAGTCGTGGAATGCATGTTGAAGCTCGAATCAGCTTTATTGTTAGTGTCGTGCTAAAAGCGATAATTTATTTCTTTGATTTAGCATTGCTTTAAGAATGTTCTTTGGCAAACGCACAATGAAGGAATTATGAAATGCTCACTGAAAGGGAAAATGCATTTGGTATTTAATATTTCTTAATCTTTGTCTTACTCAGCACCCGGAAACTACTGAAACTTGCCTTGAGCAGCATTTGTTTTGTTACGCATTTTACGTTATCCATTATTCGTGTTACTTCTTTGTTTTGGAGTGCTTTTCTTCAAGTCCAGCTTAGGTGTTATAATAGTTATAAATGACTACTTACCAAGTGTCATAACTTTAAAACTACTTTGATCGGTATCAGAAAAATGAAATAAATATCTTCTTCCTCTTTGAAAGTTGATAATCTGAAACATGACTTGGGATCAAATAACAATACTTGGATTTATGGTTGCTCAATATGTACATTGCCAGTGCTCATTGATAAATGCCCTTTTTTTAAAAAAGTATTGACAACAACAAAATAGTATAATTAAGTTTACTTCATTTTTCTCTGATCTGTGATCAAGTATCTCATATACATTTTTCTTCTAATGTTTCATGGTTTCTCTTGGAAATTACTGTATAAGCCTAAGCTCTGATGGCCATAATAAAGCATGTTGATAACACTTTTTTGAGCCTGCCTAGCAAGCATTTCCAATCGAGTCATTGCGTGAAAGTTAGAGCGGGAGCAAAAAATAAGGTGAAAGAGGGACGGGAGGGGAGAAGAGGAAATGCTTGTCCGCAAACCCCACGATTCTGGAAAACGCCCTTTGATACTTCACTGTTCGGTTCATTTGTAAATTGACAGCTTGTCAAAATAGAAAATAGTGTCGAAACGTTCTCTACAATACATGCCGCTAAATTTCAAATAAACAAAAAGAATCTTTTCATTTCAAAAAGCTTACAAATCGCTTGTCCATGGCGGCTTTAGCTAGTGTCAAGTGCCAATGTTCTGATCTATGTTGATGTTATCTCCAATAATTCCAGTGAGATCCGCATGCCATCATCCTCAATAAATTGGCCTTCCCTAGTCTCCACTGCTCGATCTCCAATTATACTTTGAAGACTCTGATCTCATAAACCTTCGTACAAACACGATTCAAATAAATATCAGTCCAAAGCATTTGTAATGTGTGACCACAAATCAGATGAGACCAGATCTTTGACGCACGTATCAAAACAAAGCATACCTGGTGTGATTGATGTTTCGGGTGCTTAGTAATCAACACTACCTGACTGCACCAATCAGAAGCTGCGTGCGTGGGCGAACACAGTTTTTCAAAATCTTAGGGTTTGCAGGCAAACGTTTCCTTCTTTCCCCTCCCCCTCCCCCGTCATTCATTTTTTCTTTGCTCTTGTCCCAACATTCTCGACAAACTCACAAGGAAACGCTTGCTATGCAGGCTACACTTTTTTTTTCTGCTCTACTCTTGTTAGTTTCTTCAAGAAAAAAATCTTGATAACCTTTTCAAGAAGAAAGCAAAGAAACATTTTTTTTATTTTGTATTAAACAATCCTTGAGGTTGACTGGCATCTCTGTGGGGGTTGTATCAGGCCTTTAATGGTCTAACAAAATGTAGAGCCATGATAGTAGCTTAAGTTTATTAATATAAGATCTTGTTCAACTGAAATATTAAGTGTTAATGAACACTGAGATTCTGACCAGCTGAGCAAAGCCACACAAAGAGGCACACATATAAGCTGGACCATCCTTTTTATTGGTATCGATGTCTTGTAGAGGCGGGTGGGGGATGGGGTACTATTTCTGTGTAACCAGGTGGCACAAGCAGTCCAACCCCACCAATGGCCAGAGGCCAAAGAGCAATGGCACAATGACATAAATCCTTTAGAGGCAAGGAGCAGGCTAAGCGGCTGATCAATTTAAAAATGGATGATTATTTTTTAAAAAGCAAAATCCTGTTACAAGAAAACTGACTGTAAAGCAAAGTAAAAGCTAATCTAAAGTGAATCAACACTAATATGGCACAAATTAAAACAAGGAAATAAGGCCAATTTATTTTTACCCCATGTATTTAACTAAACTGAAGAAGCTTGTATATATGCAATGATAAACACAATAGTAAGGCAGGGGATGAGTAAAGAATAGTTAGTTCACATCCTGATTGTAAAAATAAACGCCCAGGCTCTTCCTAACTGGCAAATAATAGGTGGTGAAAGAGGGATTAGAGAGAAGGAATAGTATAAACCATACACAGGAAAACAAACCTGTGAAATACCAATCCTACTCATAACTAAAAGATAACTAAATGTAAGACAACAGAAAAATATGTGATTAAACCTAGCAATAGAACAGGAAATTGGCACTAAACAATAACTGGAATGAGACCAAATTGCACAATAAGCTAAAATAGTCTATAGAAATGAGAAAAGTGAGGCCAAGTGACCCGCTCACATCTATTTTACCAGGATTTTAAAAAATTGAAAGTTTTGTCTGGATAATGTAACTATTATTGCCTTTCAGAGGGATCCATGTTTTTCATAAGAAGGAATGTACTATACCTGCCAACTTTCTTTGTTTCAAATGCGGGAGATTTTTTGCCTTGTCATGAATGGGATTTCCGAAAACCTCACAGCAACTTCCAAAGATTTTGAATGATTTTCCAAAGACTTCTCAATTGCCGAAAATGTCCAGAGATGTTCCGACGATGTTTGTTCACCTCCAAAGCTATTTGAAAGACGACAATTTTAGTGTGCTTTAATTTCATTAGGACACAAAGCCATCATTCATCATTAAATTGAATTTTCATTATTAACCATGTGTAAAAGAGGAATTTGTCCAGATTTGTGAATGAGGGGTGAGGAATTGTCCTTAATGTGTGAGATTGATGTCTTTAATCTGCATGCATGAGACTCACGCATAGTGCATGAGATTTGGCAGGTATAATGTTGTGGCTGAATTTGTTGCTCTCTTACGTTGTAGCTGGTACTTTGGTGAAATAAAGCGTCCAGAGGCAGAGAAGATCCTGAAGACAAAACCAAATGAGCATGGAGCATTTCTGGTGCGTGAAAGTGACAAAGGGGGATTTGCTCTTTCCATGAGAGATGGAGACACGGTCAAACACTACAAAATTCGCACATCAGATGAAAAAACCTTCTTTATAGCCCACAACAATCAATTTGAGTCTCTTGTTGAACTGATTCATCATTATTCTCAAAACGCAGATGGTTTATGTGATGTTCTAAAGGTTCCTTGTGTCAAGGTAGGTTTTGACTGATCGCAAATGACTTGAGGTGCTTCCTGTTATGCTAAAATTTCCCAAATTTCAGTAGCCTGTGTAGCAAGCGTTTCCGTTTGGTTTCGGAGCAAAGAAAGACCGAGGAATGGCATTTTTGGTTTTGGCCATGCGAAAAATGGAACGAGAGCTTACTTGCGCCATTTTTCATGCAGTCTTTGACTCGTGCTGGTCATTCTTTGCTCCAAAACAGCACTGAAACACTAAAATTTCAGTTGAAGCATGAATGTTGAGGGGTTGAAAAGCTGTACCTGTACACCAGTACACATGTGAGTACTTGAAAAACAATCAAAGATAAATTAAAACAAAATTTAAAAAAGAAACAAGCAATGGAACAAAAGCTAAAGGATTGCTGGAAAGCAGAACAACATTACTGTGTATATTTATACTGCCCTAAATGTAACTGCTTTCAGATAATTTTGTCAAAACAAAGTGTTGTGTTTTTCCCACACACAAAAGCCATAACTCTTGCCTAAAATGTTCCAAGATCGAGTGAGATGATTGCCTCAGCATACTGATAAGAAATTTAACTTAATTAAGTAACCTGCGAGAAAACAATTTGGGAGATGAGGTTGGGTTGATTTGGAAAAATGTGCATACCTCTGGGAAATTTATAGCTACGTCCTTGATGGTTTTCATGGATAAAGATGGTCTACACTCTTTGACCAGTTTATTTTTTATTATTATTTTTTTAAGTTGAAGTTTATTTCTGTCATCAGTTGTTTTGGTTCAACCAAAACTTACCAAACTTACCGTACAATTTTCATCTTGCTTTACTGAGAAGCAACCAGTACTTTAATCAAAGTATGAATGTTATTATTATACTTCAGTCCAAGGGCAAGTGTTCTTTTGATTAGACAAGGTTAAGTTCCCTTTTTCCTTGGTTAATTCCATTGGTCTCTGACTGGTCAGCCTGGCGTTATAAATATTATTGAACACACCCTTGGGTTCTACATGGATCTTTTAAGTTTATGGGAAAAATCCTCTTGTGTAACAAAACAATGTTAAGGCTTGTATTGAGCTCTTTGATCCTAAGAATTTTTATGAGTGTGAGGGTTGACTAATATTGTTTATTGTTACCCTTTTGTGAAGTATAATGTTGGTCAGAGAAGAAACTCTGTTTGTGGCCAAGCAGTTAGAGTGCTAAAATGTTGTAATCTGAAGGTCATGAGTTCAATCGCTGCCCAAACTGCTAGCTGGATTTGTTCTTGGTAGTCCCAGGTTCAACTCGTCAGCAATGCTAGTAAATACCCAGGTTTGCCTCTGGACAGTTGGGTTTCTTAACTCGCTGGGCCACAATGAAAACTACTGGTAAATACCAGTAACTGTGTTACCCCTAGTCAGTCTTTTTTGTGAGGGTATCTCACTTTTTTGAAAAACACTCATATTCATGTTAGTGTTCATAGATATAGTTTACAAGGTCATTAACAAAATAATAAGTGAGTCACAAATCACAGAGCAGTTGTAGTCAAGCCATTTCTTACAAAAATGTACCCTAATATAATTAAGTTGAATGTTACATATTCAGAGCTGCAAGTTATAGAATATATGATATGGGCTTTTGACAGTAAATAATTTTGTCTGTGACAAAATTCTACTTGTGATCCAACATAAGTCATTGTCTCAAATTCAGGCTACAACCTGATGACTTTCATTTTGAAGCTGAAGATTTTTATTCTTCACTTTGTGCTTATAGAAATTTATTGTCAACACAGTATTCTAAATCCTCCAATAATGCATCTGGTTTGTCACACTCAATTGGTATCTTGGTCAAACAAATGCCTTTTGTGTCCTTTGCATCCATAAGATATGAAGGGAAGTTTGAAAGAGACCATAAAAAGGTTTTATTGTACAGTGGAACCCTGCCTTACGGCCACCTCAGTAATACAGTCGCAGCCTTGTTATTACAGCCATGTTTTTTGGCTTGGCAAAACTGCCATACATTTTCGTACCAAAAAAAAACACTGTTATTGCAGTCACCTATTAATACAGTCAATGGACACATTATGAAATCCCAAACAGTAGAATCTCTTATAATTGCACCCCATTTTTATGGCCACTGCTTGTGCATTTCAATAATAATTTCATTGAACTCTGTTATTTAGTAATCAAACAAGTGAGCTGGTTTGGGTTTTCTTTAGTCAAAGGGTAACGCTAACATGCAGATGCCCTTTTGCTATTGGCTGGAATGTAGAACAAGCCAGTCAAAGCTCACCAATGTTTTATTTTTTCACAATCCTGAACATTATTGCACGATGTACCTGTAAAAAAAGTCAGAGAGCTCAGGACCTCCGTTTTCAGAAGCATATTATGCTGAGCCTGTATTTTCAACAGTTTAATAGCCAAAAGTGTTTTTTGTTCTAATTGAAGTTTCAGGCAGGGCAGTTTTTACAGTTACTGTTCTTAAATCTGCATTGCCATTATAGAGTTGTTCATTATGGCCCTTGTTAAGTTGTGAAGTTTGACTTTGCCTGAAAAATAACAGCCACTCCATTAATACAGCCTGTTTTTTCACTTATTGGTGACGGTATTAATGAGGTTCCACTGTACTTAATCTTTCCACTATGTTTATGTCATAAGGTTGAGAAACCCCAGACTGTTGGTTTATCACATGACACTGTTGATGCCTGGGAAATACCACGAGAAACACTCAGACTTGTCAAGCGTCTTGGGCAAGGCAACTTTGGAGAGGTGTGGGAGGGTGTGTGGAATGATACCACTGCTGTTGCAATAAAGACATTGAAGCCAGACACAATGAATCCAAAGGCATTTCTGGAGGAGGCAGAACTGATGAAAAAATTAATCCATCCCAAATTGGTGCAGCTCTATGCAATTTGCTCCAAAGAAGAGCCTATTTACATTGTGACGGAACTGATGCAAAAAGGAAGCCTACTTGAGTACCTGCGAAGTGACGAGGGGCGGAAGTTGAAAGAAGCAGATCTAATTGACATGGCTGCCCAGATTGCTTCAGGCATGGCTTATCTCGAAAAGCACAACTATGTCCATAGAGATTTGGCAGCAAGAAATATTCTGGTTGGAGAAAATAACAGTGTCAAGGTAGCAGATTTTGGCCTGTCACGTGCCGTAGAAGACTTCTACGAAGCACATGAAGGAGCAAAGTTCCCCATAAAATGGACAGCTCCAGAGGCCTGCCTTAAGAACCAGTTCTCCATTAAATCTGATGTGTGGGCATTTGGAATCCTGTTGACAGAGTTGGTGACATATGGTAGAGTGCCTTATGCTGGAATGAACAACAAACAGGTGAGAAGAACATGCCCACACCTTAGGTTAATAAACCCTTCCACGTTATTTTTTTTAACTTTTGATGAAGAGCAGTAAGCGAATATCCATCATCACTTCTAGAAAGAGGGCCTTAAAATAATGCCACTTATCAAGTTTAAAGGTGATCTAATGCTCCGCAAAATTGCACAATTTTTTATTGATGTTTTTTTATGCTGGGAGCACAAACTTGCCCCCAACCTTACTAGCCTCAGCTGTAAAATTCTGCAATTTTGGGGAACTTTATCTTCATATATTTTTATCGCCTAAAGCTCTTCTTTTTACATGGTAATCCTGGATAAGTATTGGACTACCTTTCAGCTCATGATGGTTTAAGAGTCTAACCTATCCTAAATATGCATAAAATTTAATAGACAAATCAGGGGCACCCAACAACAATTTTCGGAAAATATCTGTTCAGAAGACGATTTGAGATCTAGAATTTTTGGAACATTTTTTCCAAATTTCTTGCTTGTCTGCCTCTCCTAGGATTTTCAAACATCTAAAAAATGGTATAATTGCCCATTTTAAATGGATTTTTACCCTAAAAAGGTGACCTACTATTTTCAGGAGCCTTTTTTCTGGCTGAAATTTTCGAATCACTAGACTTTCAGCTAGGAAATCCAAACAGATGAAAAATTTTTAGGGGATAAAAATACGCCTATATCTACTGTTTTAATTCTAAAATACGTTTAACGGTGCTATGTTTAAGTGGTTTTGAACTATATTCTCGTTGGGTGCCCCTGATAAATGCTGTTGGTGAAAGTAATATGACTAGAATGGAGTTGAAATCATTCTTAAACACGTACAGCACTATAATTTTATTGTTGTTATTTCTTAGGTTGTTGAAGAAGTTGACCGAGGTTACAGAATGCCAAAACCATCCCTTTGTCCTGATAAGCTGTATGATCTAATGAAGGCATGTTGGAAAAGTGAACCACTCGAACGACCAACATTTGAAACTCTAACATGGATGCTGGAAGACTTTTATCAGAACGATTCAAAGCAGTATAAAGAATTGGCCAATTGAGTGTATCAAGGTGACCAATTTATACATTGTTCACGGAGTCAGTAAAACTCAATCATTTTTCCCTGTATCAATCACACATGCAGAAAGGTTGCATGATAACATTTTAGCTGTATAATTTAGAAAATAGTTGATAGCTTGCATTTTTAAAGCAATGATAGAGAGAAGTTTTCCCCAGAATTAAAATTTTTAAGGAGGTGCAGGTACAAAATTAAGGACTATTGGTAAACTAACAAGAAAAGGTGTTAAGTTTTAGTGATAGCACCTCATAGTGGTTGCCCCAAGGAAAGAAAGCTCACATCTTACAGTGATGCCAGGTCAAGTGTCCCCCCTTAAATTCCATTAATGAATTGATTATGTTAAAAATCAAAACTGTTAGTCATGGCCACAACAAGTATGAAATGCAAATATGCATTCCTGCATTCGCAATGAGCAGTGAATTTTTGGCTACAACTTCTTAATATTTGGCGCAATAAAATCTTTGAAAACATTTATATCAACTTCAAGAAAACTGAGCTGTCAGAAATTTTAGAACTACCTCAAATGTAAAATTAACTGCTCATTATGATGAATGCAGGAATGCAGATATGAATCTGAAATTTACAACTACTAATGGATTCAACTTTCAAATGATGCATTGATTAATGAAATGTTGGGGGTACGATCGACCTGGTTTGACTGTAATGTATTGTTATTCATTCAAAATAATAATATTATTTCCCAGTTTCTGAAATATGGCTTAATTTTGCTGATTTTTTAATAAGCTAATGGTGGTTAATTTTGAAAGTTTTTTTGTTGTTTATCCAATAACTGGAGTAATTATACATTGTTCTCATCATCTGTCTTCTCATTGGCTAAGAGCCCAGAGATAATTTTATTTTGGAAATTAGTGCAACCTACAATACAGATTAGTCAGGTATCTGCTAAGAGATTACTGACTGATCTCTAGGTTGCGCACATAATGGATGATTTCCAAAAGCAATGTCAAACTGTTCCATGTGATGCCGTGTTTGTCCTTATTCTATTCAAAACAATATCTAAAAAATTGTTATTTGATTAGGTTTTTGTGAAATGTGGAATAATCAAGGTCTTTGTAAGTGTCATCAACCACAGCCTTTCGCTCGGCTGATAACACTTTCTTCAACCTTGATTAGTCTGGATATCACAAAAACCAAATCCAATAATTTTTTTTCAAGTGCTCCGATTAATATTGAAGAGAGGCAAAGGGTTAGCTGTGAGCAGCAGTAAAGTAAGGCAAGAAGCTGGGAGAAGGGGAAAGGAGAGTTAGCCATGATTAGTAAAGGATTCTTTTTTTAGTTATAACCATGAAAAAATATGACATCTGGAAGCTGGTTGTCAGATAGACACACTGCCAGTTAAGCACACTCAAATGGCAGCAGGCCATGTGGTCAGCTTTACCAACGTTGAAACCTCATTGTAACCTTGTTGTGAGGAGCCTTTTTTGAGATTTTTTTCTTTGAAGTGTAAGGTCAATTTTGCATGACAACTCAGTGCAGGTGGTATTATGTATGGCATGCATTGGACTTGCTCTTTAAGTTTAGTCTCTTATGAACTTGCCTGGGAATAATTTTAATGAATAACTGAGCAATATTATAGTTCAGTCAATTTCTTGCCCTATTATTTTAGTGGTGTTAGATGGTTATATCTATGCTGCAGACTATTCAAACTATTTTTAATGAGCTGTATTCTAAATGTTAATGAAAGTAAGGAATCATGTTTAATACAAGAGTAACTTAATAGCCTTGGTTTGCATGGATACTCCACGTCCCATGTCGGCCAACTGAGGTGATTTTACATATTAGTCTTTAATGTAAATACATTGTACCAGTAAGGCATTTTTTTTTTTTACTTAAAGCATAAAATATAAGAATAAACTTAAAATTTCAGTTGCTTATTAAGCTTTTTTTTAGCAAAAATGTAGTTATTGTTAGTTAATAGAGATGAATATTTTTTATTTCATATTTCAGTTATGCTGTTTCCAGTTACTGTTATAGTGATGTAATTCATGAAGTAATGCAATTTTTATTACTATCAAACTGATTGTTGTAGTTCAGGCAGTTTATTATATTTCTGGAAAATAAGAAAAACCAGATTGTCAATGAAGGCGAAAAAACTAATGTGCTATTTTCTTCCATACATGAAGAGCAAAAAAGCTTTTGAAGGATGGTATTATTTGTTTAAGTTTAAGACCAAATGAATGCAGTTTGAGTTGTATTGTTGGCTTATGTTTCTCCATTTTTAAAAGCTGTAGACTAATGCAAAATGAAGTATTTTTTGAAAATATTCCTAAGCATTCTATTCAGACATGAATTTAACACAGTACTGGGTATATTGTCAGTTTGCAAGGAACACAGTGTTTCAAGACATCATTACAGCTCTAAAATCGTGGTCAATTTGTTTGTTGCATGTAAGGAAAACGTTCAGCCCAGTTGTGTTTGTCCGAGTTGTACAAAAAAATGTGAGGTAGCGGATAGGTTTTGAATTTTTTTAGTTTGTTTTTTCGCTGTCTGTGATTCTAACAACTCTTTGAATTTATTTAACTAACCAACCATTTGAAGCTTTCATCTAGTACCAGATGATGATGTCCTTATATGGTCGTCCTCCTAATGTTGTCAGTAAGATCATAAAATAATCAATAGATCAGTTAAAATGAGTTGGGCGACACAGTTATCACATGATTGAAGGAATTTTTGCTTACATATAGCAGTGTTTAAATAATGGAATATTGTGCATTTACTCGTATACTATAAATGTACGTTATTCTCAAAATGTCAGGAGTTTAGTTATAAGATTGTATACAACACAACCTTCATAAGTAAGTCATTAGAGGATCTATTGTTGTAATCATTTTACTTTCTTAAAGAAGTGCGTTGTCGCTTGTGTTTTTCAGTCACTCTGCAAAGACTTTCTTCTGCAGCAGAGGGGTAATGTTTTTTAGTGCCAGAGCTATAAATCTTGACAGTTTTCCCTGGCCTACATTTACAAAATTAGTAACAACTGGAACGACATTGTAGTGTAAGGGGATTTTGTTTAACTTGGTTGACTAGCTAAGTGTGTAGTGTTTCAAGAGGCATGGAAGGGCTTAAAAGTGACAAAAGGTTGTGCAATGTTCTTTGAAACACATTCAAGTATCACTGAGTTACAGAGTTCAAATTCTGTTATTGCTTATGAGAATTTAGCAGTCAGTGCGAGTTCATTGGCATTCAGTGTTTCAGTGTTAGACCAAACTAGTTTTTGCACAGAAACCCATCATTGGGACTTGGCTTTTCAATTCCAGTGATAGTGAAACCAGAAAGATTCTTAAACATTAATTTTGATATGATATTAATAATTTTATTAGAATATGGTAGTAGGTGTTCCAGTGACTGACGCATTTCCAATTCCTGGTTTGCACGTGACGTCACGGCGGCCATGTTGGTGATCAGTAACAAAAGCATTTCTCTCCACTGGGAACTAAACTCTATTTTCAAGTAAGTCTTCGAAAAGAATTTTGTTGTAATGACCACCAACATTACTGCCATGTCGCGTGCTTGCAATCCAAGAATAGAACAATCTACAAAACGATTGATTTTATTGAATACTAAGACTTAAAGCTTTTAGCCCAATTTTAACATTTTCCATTGGAAATATGGACAGTCAAAAGACCACCTGGTCACAACTTATAGTTGACTAAAAAGTTGTTGCAAGGTGGTCAATTAGAGTGGTTTTCGTTTGAGTGTCGTAAAACCAAAACCAAAGTAATTACTCTGGCCAATCACATAGGACACAGACAATACATTGAACCAATCAAAACTCGAAGTAATTACATGTGGCTGACGCAAATTCACAATTGGCTTTGGTTTTACTTCTGATTGGATGAAAAGGTGGCGCGAATCTTTTAAGCCAATCGCATCGTGTAGAAAGTGCAAAACCAATTACTTTTCGACACTCAAATGAAAACCGCTCTATTGTAAGTTTCAGACATTAATCCACAAGTGTCCAGCTTTAGTTCAATTGGGCCCAACTATATCATCTGAATTGAAAAGCGGTACATAAGTTATGGTAGATTGCAGTTTAAATTTGACGGAAAGTAAAACCTGACAGGTTTTGGCCATGCAGTGCTAGTTGTCCGAAGCATCAGGGCCAAACCTGCTGACTATCTGTTAAACCTTTAAGCCCCAAGATCCTCATACAAATTTTCAGACTGATCAACATACGTTTTCTTTATGACTAGTTTAGAGAATTTGATAAAAGATCATAGCATTTTCCCTTTGATGATCACTTTGTTAATTCTTATTACCTTCTCTTTTGGTGACATGTTGATGTTGTTCGGAGAAGACTTACGTCGATCACTATGTCGATCACTCTTGGGACTTGAAGTCCCAAGAGTGATCGACATAAGTCTTCTCGGAACAACATCAACATAGTCCTCGGTATCACGAGGATCTTTTACCCCAGTTTAAGGATTAAAATGAACTTTTTCCTTCTAATATTAAAAATGATAAATATCTACTGATTTTTAATCAAGAGTGATTATGAGCGTAAGGGGTTAACTGAGCTATACGTGTACCTTGGTTGTAAAAACAATGTGCAAATATCTTACAACATACAGAAACAAATTATTGACCTGAATAGTGCGCTGGCTAACTCCTGTTTAAGTAAGAAGAGATACAGAAATTAGTTTTAATCCTTGGGATTTAAGCCTTTTACTTTAACGACAAGTATGCATTTTTGTGTTTACTTAGCTCAATGATTCATTCCAAGGGAATAATATCTTTGGAATTTTGTTTAGGAACATGGGGGATAACAGATATTTAGATGAGAAAGCTCATACCATGTCTAGGAAATAAGGTGAAGGCATATATGCTAGCAGATCATAGAAGAATAATTCAGCTTCACCGTTTTGTTAAATCAATATTGACTACGTACCATTTGTACACTTAGATACCTGTCTTTAAGATTTATATTTCAGTCAATGTATTTTTATATCACTTTGTAAATAA